GGCATATAGTAAAGACTCACTGATGTTAGCTATTATTTTACTCATATTTGGCCTAAATTTTCCATGGCTTATCTCTAAGGTACAAACTTGGCAGGATTGTTTGAGGAGTAAAGATAATGTGTGGAAATATGTAGCAAAGCCCCAGCACATGTGCACACAATAATGAAAGCCATTATTTAAGTAGCATACTATATTACTGATTACCGACAGGGTTTCAGTGGTCTATCAATGAACCTGTTATCCAAACCTAGTATCTTAACATAACAACAATCATTATAGTACCCTTCACTCTTCTGTGGTTCCAAATAGAAGGGCTAAGCTGAGCTATTCTAGATCAAGGACTGATTGCAGGAAGGAACTGGAATGTGAGACTGGCCAGGCATCTCCCTCCTGAATCTCTCGTGTAGCCTCAGGCCTCTCTGTGTGCATTTACACTTCATTTAGACTTCCTCACCAGGTGGCTTAGGAACAGTGGGACTGCTTCTATGGTGGGCCACTCTTCCAGGCCCCAGTGTTTCAGCTCACAAGGCAGAAATGGAATCACATTTAATAATCTAGCTTTGCAAACCACTGTGCCACTCCCACCGTGCTCCATGAGCCCAAGTAATCACAAACGCCTGCCACATTCAAAGGGAGGGAAACCCCCAACCTTGCGATGGGGAAAGTCAAGGTTCCACAAGAACATGAGGAACATAGCACCACGTGACCATCTTTGAAAACTACAGTCTTCCACAAAGAGATTCTAGAGCCAGGTGTGCTTAGGAATACACGGTTAGGACAAGTGGTCAAGGTCACAGGCACAAAGAGATTCTAGAGCCAGGTGTGCTTAGGAGACACGGCTAGGACAAGTGGTCACTGTCACACAAAGGCTTCCAGCTGTCTTTAAGGCAAAGCCACCAGAGAGGGAATAGAATGTCAAGGGGAAGCAGGCTTTAGCTTCTGCTGCATTACTCACTCTGAACACACTGAAGACTAATTGTTTGATGAGCACATGCTATTGCCAGATATTGCACTAAGCTTCTTAGGTGGATTATTTTATTTAATCCTCATAACAGGCCTCTGAGACAGACATATAGGATTAAAGACGTTAAATACCTGTGGCCAGAGGGGAAGAGGCCAGGTTCAAATCCAGCACCTCTATGTTCTCCCACCAACCTAGGTTGCTTCATATCCTGTATAGATGGTTTTGTGAGTCCATACTTGTATTCACTAAATGTGCTAATGTGCTTATTGATATTATTTTTACCAAGTTATCAAGGTGGAAAGATTGAAAAAAATAACTTTAATTAGATAATATATATTTCTTTTCCAATAATCCTAAAGAACGGGGAGAAGGAAAGAAAATCTGATTCCCCAAATTTGTTTCTACTTATGTGCTTGTTTCATAGGGGGTGAGGCATTTTGATGAAGGGGATATTCAGTTATTTTTTTAATTAATTTTTTTTCCTTTAAAAACTCCCTCAATCCAAAGCAGAATGTATTGGTTTGATTTCTTCTACAGACACCTTTAGTCTGAGAGTCTGTGTGGTTTTCATTCTTGGTTTCTCTTGGAGGCATGATGGGGCTCCCTGGGCCGCCAGGGTTTCCCGGGCATCCGGGAGTTCCAGGGGCAGCCGGCCTTCCTGCGAGACCTGATTCCGCTCCAGGAAAACCAGGGAACCCGGGACCACCTGGGCTGCCGGGAGCACCAGGATGTCAGGGACCTCCAGGATCAGACGGTAAAGTGCTCCTCACTCACAGTCATTAGCGTTTATGTGGAATTTGATATTTGTAGCGTCATTCAGAAAATGTGAGTTTCTAAATATTTTTTTTAAATTTTCATATTTCCTGAGCCACGTTAGTATTATTACCACAAAAAATAAACTGATATTATTGTACTATCACATCAATGAAAGCATATGAACCTATTTGGTGGAGAATTTAAGTATAATGATAGAATTTTGTAAGTTAATACAATTTGTGTTTTATAAATGTTTTAATTTTTTATCAGAGCTATAATGGACCTGGCTTAGGAGTCAAACAATTCTACAAAGCCAGTTATAGCAAACTGCCATCCTACGCAACCCCTTCTCCTGTTTCTTCTTGGATATTTTGTTATTTGTCTCTATGTTGCCATTCAACATGCTTGTATTGTTATTTCTTAATTTTTTGGTTTGAGCATTATCTTTTGTATTCCCTCTATGGGAATA